TGCGCAGAGTTACCCTATTGCAGTAGGCCTAAATTTTAGTAGCCTAAACATCCTGTGGAGTTCATCAACAGACGTACAAGTTTGTCTGATTACCCGTTTTTTCTAATCTGGGTGTTTACCACTTTGGGACTTTTGGTTAAACAATTATTGATAAGTCTATTCATTAGCTTTGTAAAATTTGTATGGAGCAATGTAACGAGCTAAATATTGACCATTTAACTGGCTTCAATATACAACAACACTTCAGTAATGCGGATCTTCTAAACATTGAAGGGTCACATAACAGATAGGTAGCTGATTGCACAGTGCATAACACTGTCAATAGATCTACTAGTTTTATGTGCTATAAATCTACCAGACTCTACCCTCTAAACACACCAACTAGTACCCAGTGACTGAGTGACTGACTGCACTGTTCTCATTTGATTCAGACCAATTAACCAATACTAAACATTAACTGAACGACAACCAAACAAATCTCAAACAACTTGAAACGAGACTTATGTTATGAGAAAAGCTAACACTTTGAAATAAACATGTACACAATTCAAACATTTTATTTCTATTCACTGCTTTTAATTATTATATAGATAGTTTTATAATCGTAATTGTTTTGTTTATTGTTATACATTTACATATTTAAAGATTGAAATTAAATATTTTAATTAGAATACTCTTCTGGAAAATAAATCTTCTGGAAAATCTTTCTGAATGCCTAAAAGGTCAATACAATCTTGACCAATCCTTCTTACATACTGTCAAATGGGGTAAAAAAAGGACAGTTTTGAGCATTTTTTGTTAATAACTTCTTACCATGAGACATTTCATAATCAAGTTTGGGCTCATTTTAAAGGTCTTTGCAAGGGCTATTGTATGGAATCTCCAAAAAAAAATCGATATGCTATTTGTAAGGCGCTAGACGCAATATAAAAGGCTCCTGAATTGATCTGGAAATAGGGTATAAAGGGTCATTTGAAATAAAACCTAATTTTAAACATTTGAAGCATGCAGAGTGTACTCATCTAATACTAGCAATACTCTGAAGTCCTCCTCTTCCTTTGTAGATGATGTAAATGTAGAATAAATGAACATTTCTGTGATTTTTACTTGGTTTTTCTTCATTGGTATAATATTACCTTATCCATACATTACTGTATTATTAATGTGATATTACTGTATCCATGGACATGCCATTGAGAAGTGATAATGACCTTGTCCACTGCAAGCTTCATATCAGCATAAAGCATTTCTTCTGTATCTGTAAGCTTACAGGATGGTTTGTAATTTTGCACAATTTTAATCAAGTCAAGTGATTTCACTATAACAAAAAAGATTGTAAAAAACATACCTGAAACAGGTAGGAACATTTCACTGACAACCATCAAATTTTTTGGAGAAATAAATCATAGTTTAGGTCAAAATCTTTTCATTCTATGATGCCCAGTGCATAATTCTATATACGTATAGCATTCTATGTACAATTTTATGACGACCGATAATGCACTAATTTTTCAATAAGTGAATTTTTTTTCGCCAAGCAAGGTAAATGTAATCAAAATTTTTTGTTGTTAATCAATTTTTTTGTTAACTGGAGCCTTTGCTAACTGAGGTTCTACTGTAAATGCATTTTTAAGGGTGTCCCTAATTACCCTGGGGGGGTGTCCCTTTTTGCCCCGTCACGCAGTAATGGCTGCCATTTTTTTTTAATGAGATAGGCAAATTCTGTCAATTACGTTTTCGGCGATTTTTTAGAGATAGTAAATGTTTGATTTTTTGACCAGCTTTATACATAATAGATAGTAAAAATGTTGAAGTTTACTCCACTATTTATAGTTTTGCAATATTTTGATTAGTTTAGCTGCTATAACATTTTTACAAAATGTGGCACGCACGTCCCTATTTACCCCGCCCCTCTCTTTTTACCCCATTTGACGGTATTTCATTTACTTGCCACTGCTGGTGTTGCCATCTGTATGTGGGCTAATCTAGACTTGAAATGTGCTTCTCATCTTGTTAAATTTTATAAAATTGAATAATTAATACTTATTTTTATTGAATTTTTATTGAATATCAACAATTATAATTCATTCTATATTAGTGCCAATTACTTTTTGTATTGTCTTTTTCTTTCTTCTCATGACTATAGTTCATAGAGAACTTTTTACAAAAAACTTGGTGATACTAAATAGTAATAGAGAATTCATGTGACACCTTTTCATATTTTACTTGATAAATTTCAAGTGATGAATTTCACTTGTAACAAAATATGGGAAAACAACATCTATGGTAAATTCTAGCCTGAACATGTACCCAATGCAACCACAAAACAATGTAACCAGAAAATTAACAATCAATAATTCAAGGTAATTTTGTTCTCAATGAATGCGTACCATAAAATGGGGTAACTTTGACCGCTTTTTTTCAAAACGATGCCATTGTTTTACTAGTTAAGTTAAACTTGAATTGAAACATGCAAAATACAGGTCTATACTCTAGCTTCACTTACCATAAATTGCTGGCTCCTGCCTCTCATAATTTTGATGTAATTTCAAAAAAATAACTCAGTACTCACTGCAGTGAGTGACAGAGCGCGCATTTTCCCGTCAACGAAAACTTGAGGTCACGGACAGACGGATGGACAGACAGACAGACAGATGGACAGACAGACAGATGGACAGACGGACATGGTGAACACAATAGTGCACTTTTTCCATAAATGAGAAAATGCGCTAAAAAGTGATGGTCTTTGTTACCCCCCACTTTGAGGTTTCTTTGACTGGGTGGTAAAATCAATTTCATTTTTTGGTAAAATAACTCCAGGTTTTGGTGCATCGTAGTAAAACTCTTCTAGTTACATACCTATGCAAATGACAAATTTTAGGAAAGTGTCATAGTTTGCAAATTGAGGGCACCGCCCCCCAATGGGCGAAATGTGACCACCTAATGGCAGCCGTGACGGGGTAACATTGACTGGCTTAGAAATTAAGTTAAAATTACCATATATAAGACTCTGTAGAGTGTAAAACACAAAGAAAAACATTAATAGGTGTATCAAACATAAAATATGTCACATAGGTATCTGTGGTAATTTTAACTTGATTTCCAAGCCGGTCAATGTTACCCCATCACGGCTGCCATTAGGTGGTCAGAGTTCCCCCATTGGGCGGTGGCACCCCCCATTTGCAAACTATGACACTTTCCTAAAATTTGTCATTTGCATATGTAACTAGAAGAGTTCTACTACAATGCATCAAAACCTGGAGTTATTTTACCAAAAAAATACAAAAATTGGAGGGGGTACTCTGACAGGCTTTAAATAATAGCTCTTTTTCATGGGTCACATTTTTGATTTTTTAACCTATTAGATGTGCAAACTTTTTAAATCTTTCTATTGTGTTATGTAGCCTCAGTATTAGGCCTTTAATGACCATTGACAAAATTTTTCTATGTCGAATGGTTTTTGAGTTTTGGGGGTTTTTGTAAAAAAACGAAAAGTAGTTGAAGTTACCCCGGGAGTCAAAGTAACCCCATTTTACGGTACATTAAAATTTAGCGTGCCTTGTTCAAAAAGGGTGGACCATGCCAGGGTACAGAAAGTGGGTGAATATTGAAAGATCTTTGGCCACGCCTCAGCAGCAAAATTTACACCTTGAGAAAACCTTGCCAACACATTTGGATTTAAATTATTGCATTTTAAAAATTACTTTGCACAAACAGTATGGTTTCTGGTGCTTTGAATTGATCAGGATGCAGTGAATCTTGTCTGGAAATCAGTTGCAAGAGTGAAGTGTTGCAGTGTGTTGTAGAGAGTAAGGGACTTACTATCAAATTTGCTCTTGGCATTTCCTTCTCAATATCAAAGTTGCTCTCAGCAAAACATATGATGGTTGTCACTAAAACATTCCTTTCTGTTTCAGATAAGTTTTTCACAATCTTTTTTTATAGTAAATTCACTAAACCCAATTAAAATGGTGTGAAATTACAAGCTGTCCTGTAAGCTTACAGATACAGAAAAAATGCTATAAGGCTGCTGATATGAAGCTTGCAGTGGACAAGGTTGTTGTAAATGCTCAATGGCACGTTCATGGATATGGTAATATTGCATCAATATATGGTAATTAATGTATATGGTAATATCATATCAATAAATGAAAAACAAGAAAATGTCATTTATTCTACCTCTACATCATCTACAATGAAAGAGGAGGACTTCAGAGTACTGTTAGTCATGGATGAGTAGTTTTGAGTACACTCTGCCTGCTTCAAATGTTTTAAAATGAATTTTTTATTCCAAGTGTCCCGAGTAGCCCCGTTTGACGGGGCTACTCAGGACACTCTTTTTTTGCTTCTGGCACATTACGAATAGCATATAGAATTTTTTTGGAGAAACCATGTGATAGTCCTTGCAAAGAGCTTTGAAATGAGTCTAAACTTGTTTATGAAATGTTTCATGGTAAGAAGTTATGAATGAAAAACGTTAGAAATCGTCCCTAGTAGCCCCCGTTGACGGTACCTCTGCTAAGGTCAACCAAAAAAAATATATGCCATATTAAAAAATGTTATTTACATAAAAGTTGTACACAGGTGTTGGCTTAAAAATGTGATTGATGGAATTTGCGTATCTCATTAAAAAAATTGTGGCTATTTCTGCAAGACAGGGATATAAGGAACACCCCTAAAAAGTCATTTACAGTAGAACCTTTATTAGCAAAGGCTCCAGTTAATGAAAAGATCAATTCACAACAAAAAATTTATTATATTTACCTTGCTCAGTGAAAAAAATTTTACTCAACGAAAATCTAATGCATCATCTGTCATCACAAAATTGTGAATAGAATATCATGAATAAGTAAGGAACAGATTTTGTTACCCCATTCACCTTTTCCTAATTAAAATTAAATCTTGTCTACATTTTTTGTAAAGTCTTATAATTAAGGATCTAAATAGGTCTACCTGATATAAATATGTCTACCTGACAATTTCCATTTGTTCCAGTGTAGTGAGTAAATGCAGAACTTTGCTAAAGTTTACTCAGGGCATCTGTTCAATGTTAGCTATTTTTCTAAATAATGGCTTCACTTGCTAGGGAAAATGATGAGGCAGCCAATCTCATATCAGCCGATCAAGTGGTCAGTCCACATTCTTGTCTGTCACATGCTGGAGATGAAACAGTAGATCTCTATGATGATATTCCGACTGAAATAATTGGAGTGCACAATAATCCTGCTGAAAGCCAAACATCTAATGAGAAGGCATCTGCTAAAAGTGTGAACTCCAAACATTACTCTAAAACATCATCAGGCAAGATATCTACACCTGGTGCATTTGACCTGCTAGATGATTGCATCATTGCAAAGCACACAACTGAGGTAAGGGTATTTAATAATTATATACTAGTTTGAAATAAATCTGCTTTTTAAAGTAGTGCTAAAATAGTGTTCCTTGATTCTTGTCACACAATGCTAGTCCGTTTTCAGCATTTTATCAAGAAAGCAATTTGCAAATTTAAGTGTGAATGACAAAAAAGTTTACTCTGATGGCTTATTTATAGTGTAGTGTTTTTTGGCATTTCATTGCTTTCTTGATTCTCCATTTTCTTTCTCAAAATTCATTTTCTTGTATACCTATATATATAGGTACTCTTACAGAACATTGTGCTAAAAATATTTGCTGCTCATTTTCAGAGAATTTTGTTATGAAACTCAAATAATTTTTTATATTACAGTTTTCTGCTGCTCAGCTTGCTGCAGAGAATGAATTGCTTAAAAGTGAGATTCATGCAATTCGGGAGCAGTCTAAGGAACTGCAGAAAAACATGACATGCTTGTGGAAGACTGCACGCATGCAGATCAAGGAAAAAGACAACAAAATTGTTGCATTGCAACGAAAGTGAGACTTAATTTAGACTGAATAATTTTAATGCTGGAGTACATTGTGGAATATTAATTATTAATTATTATGTTTTCAGATTATCATTATGTAATTAGTTTAAGGTACTGTAAAACAGGGTGACTTGGATTATTGACAATACTTGGACCATTTTGACATTAAAGAAAAGAAAACTGGGTACTTGCAATGTTCTTGCCAAAGAAAAATTGTGTTGATGGTTCTTGGAGTACCAAGAGATAACCTAGAAATGCAATAAAGAGATATATTTGATATATTTACTACGTTGTTGCCGGGTATGAGTCTTGCATTGCGGGTGAGGTAACTGTGTTACCTGCCTCTCAAGTTATTTGGCAACAACCCTAATTAAGTTAGGAGAATAAAAGACTGGTCTAATATATTATCAATATTGAATAAAAATATAGTGCAATGTATTCAAGAAAAATTGACTAATATAATTTTTAAATGGATATGTAATGGTGCAATATGTTAATATGTTTCTTTCTGGAGTTATGACTAAGGATAAGGAGCATGAACAGAGTTAATAGTTATTCCATCATTAGTAAACTGTAAAAGAAATAACACAACATAAATAACCCATCCAGCCTAATAATGATAATAATATGACTGTGAAAGGATTAAATTAAATATTGAAATTGATGCAATAAACACTAAACTGTTAGCAGGCTGGTTGTGTGCTGCAAGCAAAAAATACTTGAACAAAAATCAGAAAACGTTTGCAAATAAAAGCTAAAACCAGAACCAGAATAAACTGCTTGAGTAATTTGTAATAGTTAGTAAGTAACAAAAGCAAAGCATTCAAGAATAACTTGCAAGCAAATTAAAGTAGAATTGAGAATTGCAATAAATATTGATAATAATTAAAGCACACACAAAGTTGAATAATCAAATTAAAAGCAATTAAAATTATGGAATGCTTAGAAACACAAAGCTGCAAACTTAATTATACTCCCAACTATATTTAAGGCAGTTTTGCATAGGGAGTCAATAATTTAGTGATGAGCAACTGTATTTGCACGGTCTCCCATCTACTAGCATAATAATTAACCAAGTATTTGAAAATACAATGAATTTACTGGCCAAAAAGAACAGAAAGAAAACATACATATGTACATAAATAATCAATGAATGATATACATAGAGAGCAAATGGTTGGGCGGGCAATAATGATGAATGTCTCCTGGCGACAATGGGACTATTTGTATCACAAAAAGGTTATGCTAAAAACTGGTCCAAGCCACCCCATTTTATAGTGTATATGATTTTAAATGATCAAAATTTATGTGTAAATGATTAAAATTGATTTTAATTAATATTGATTTCCCTCAAATTTATCAATGAGGTCTAGAACGTACGATGAATATTTTCATATGATTGACAGTTAATTAAAAGTTAATTTTACTAGCATTCTATGATTTGATATTTAAAGAAATTTTTATTTGTCTTGAAACATCTTAAGGATAGTTATAATGAATGATATTTCCCAGTCTCTAATATTGTTTCTTTCATAGATATGAAGCTCTGGTATTCAGACGGGCCATGAGAAATACAAGCAAGGATGATTTCGACAGAATTGTGACAAGAATATCTGCCTATGCACCAGCAGAAATGAAAGAGTTCTGGCAGGTATGATATAGGGTTCAGTGACGTCTGAAATCCCTCTCTTGTTTTCTTGAGGGAATCCTTGAAAATATTAAATTTTTTGTTGTGTGTTTGCTTCAATTCTGTCTGATTTCCTTTGTTATGTGGAGTAGAAAAAGATTTTACATATAAATTTGTTCTTAGTTCTGCCTAAAGACGCCATGTTTTTCCTGCCAAAATAAACTATAATTGTTACATATAATTAACTATAACTAACTAATTAACTAACTAATTAACTAAACTATAATTGTTCGTACCAAAATCAGGATTTCCCTAATTTTATGTGAGCTTAATATATTTTTTGTCTCACAGGAGATGAAACGAGACGGATCTGGATTATGTAAAAACTGTGGTGTCCAGAATGCTGGTGGTGCTGGCGGTGGCGGGGGTGGTGGTGGTGGTAGTGGTGGTGGCATGCCAATTCCAAGTAACTTGTCTCAAGTGCAAGTCCACTCTGCAGTTCGAGGTCATCAAGTGCCTGCCGTTGAAGCTGAGTCTCTGCTCCATCTCCTGCCTGTTGAGCAACAGAAACAAGTGAGCAGTGGAGTTGTTAATGCTAAAAAACTCCCGAAATCTTCACTAACGAAGAAGCTCATGAAGATGGCTCATTCAGAACCCAACAATGTGAACGACACACATTCATCTGTCTCGCCATCTGCTGAATCAAAGAAGAGAAAAAGAAGCCGTAGTGACGACCGCGGATCAAGAGAGCCTCCAAAAAGAGACTTGAGCTACGAAAGGAAAAGCCATCACCGATCAAGAAATTCCGGAGAACGAGAATCCAGCAACGTGAACGACACACATTCATCCGTGTCGCCATCTGCTGAATCGAAGAAGAGAAAAAGGAGCCGTAGTGACGACCGCGGATCAAGAGAGCCTCCAAAAAGAGACTTGAGCTACGAAAGGAAAAGCCATCACCGACCAAGAAATTCCGGAGAACGAGATCACGTTCATGATGAACGACCCATAACTCCTCGTCACGTGCGGGAAACTGACACGACGATTCCTAGTAAGAAGCCTCGATATCGAGATGAAAGAACTGGCAGAAGACGCTCTCCTACTCCAGATTCTCGTCCGCACAGAACACGTAACTCTAGTTCCGGACGTCCATTGAGAGATCGCTGCAGAATTAGACCAACTGAAGACAGCCGTCGAATTATACATAGACGACGTAGTCCAACTCCCAGAAATTTCGGTTTTAGACAAAATCATTTTAGACATGGAAGCATGAATCGCCGAGTCAAGAATTTTCCGTTACATTCACGCAGAATTAGTGACAGACGATCACGTGCCAGATCTCCGTCTAGTAAGTTTAAGTCCACAAAACATAAAGATGAGAAAACGTCGGATGGTGCACATAAAAGCCACGACAAGAGAGAAAAGGCTCGAAGATTATCCAAAATAAAGCCAAAAATCGACGAAGTTGATGCATCTTCAACTTCAGTAATAGTCCATGCTGACAAGGAACATCACAATGACGATTCTTTTCACAATTATGAGAAGAAATTGTTGTCTGCAAGCATTTCTATTCCAAAACCTAAAATAAGAGAGCGACATCAGCGAGATTCGTCAATTGAACATGCTGTTTCTGCGCCCTCTGATCACCAGAAGAGGAGTTCAGAAGACAGAAAAAGTAAGCCCGCACGTCACGACATCGATGATGAACGGAGACTGTCTCTTGAGCGTCAGAGGATTTTGGCTGAAATAAAATTACTCGAAGAGAACAATTCCCACCATTCGAGGGAATTTAATTGTCCTGACCCGATAGAGAACGCCGATCTTCAAAAGTGCGTTAATTTGAGTTCCAAAACTCGAAATGAAGTGGACTCCCATCACTCGTTCACTGTTCGAAATCTGAAACCAAAACCTCTTGACACTTGTAGTGAAAACGTGCTGGTCAGACAGTGCAAAGAAGATCAAAATGAGGCAATTAAAAACCTCGATAAGGCAATCTTAACTCATCAAGACATGCGAGTTCCGAAGTCTAAACAGGTTCCCCGTGAAGGAAATGTTAATGCATCATTAAATTTTCAGCACAATTTGGAAAATAAAATCAGCCAGAAGTCGATCGCTGGCAACTCAAGTGACCTGACTACAACATCTAGTACGTATCCAGATATTGGAAATCGGTTGAATAGGCCTAAGGTTTTAGAAAAGATGGATGACACTATTGACAAGATACTCGTAGAATATTATGAGAACAATCGATCCTTGAGTCCTGTGGCATCTGAGACTTCACTATTACAATTCCTGGACCGGCCTCGAGCAGCCGAAGGCCCTCGGACTCCTGTTGTGACATTCGAGAATGTGCTTGATCCACCTACAGAAAAGAATGTTTTGCAAGATCGCTCACTTTCAGATGCTTCAAATTTTGAACACTGTCCGAAGCGTGTCGGAGCGACTGAATCTAAACCCGATTTAGAAGCAAAAGATTCATTGTCATCCGATGCTAAGCTTATCAAAAGAATACACCCAACACCAGTCTCTTCAGGTTCCAACCTCAACGCTTCACTTCATTCTCTTCAAACTTTCGAGTTCGTCCCGATGAAGGAATACACTTTGAAGCCGAAACTGCGTGTTCCAAAATCCCGTTCCAACATCATTAGCTCCAATTCCCCGAGCTTCACTAATGAACTAAGAGAGAAGTCAGCGTGGGAGCCTCAGTCGAGTAATGTTCCTATGAATCCCATTAGTTTTGCTCAGTTTTCTGATGATGAGAGGGATATTGAAAACACAGATTCGTTTGATAGTGGATCTGAAGCATCAGAAGTATCGAAGGATTCTTTTATAGCTAAAACTTCCGACGAAGAAGAATTTAATGTCAACAGAAGCAAGAAACTTGGAAAGGTAAGAGCAGCAATTTCATTGCTAAATACTGACCTCGAGCTATCTAATGACAACACAACAAACATGTCTCCTAAAAAAATTAACTCCGGAACACCGATCAAGAACAACAAAAGCTCAAATAATTCTGAAAAATTGTTGGAATCTCCCGCCAAAAACACTCGCAGCCAATCAGCGTTACGGAATTCTGCCAGCAGGGTGACTAGAAACAGCGTCTCACCGACGAAACCTGCCGACAGAAACAAAAATTCTTCACCCAAGAAAAATTTAACGCCCAGAAAAGCTCGAATGAGTGCAGAAACTGTGGAGAAATCGGCTACCAACGGATGTTCAGCAAATAATATTGTAACTATTTCATCAGTCAGTAATTCCGCGGATTCATGTTCTTCATCTTCTTCTAATAGTTCATCTACGTCATCTTCATCGACGTCGACATCGTCTTCTTCTAGTTCATCTACATCAAGCGCTTCTAATTCAACAGTGCTGAAGCGCGACGCTGCGTTGATTCACGAAGCTGATAGAATGGCCAACTCTGCTAACGGCCTTGAAGCGAATCACAAGCTACAGGAAAATTCGAGTGGCATTGTTGATAACAATCTATCTTTGACCGAAGGTGGCAATGAAGCGGTCACTTTTGGTCAGGAAACTCGACAAACTTCGACTTTAGTTGGCAGTGAAGTGGTCAATTTTGGCCAGGAATGTGATAGCAATATGGCGGAAAAGGACCACACTAAAAGATACAATCCAACTTTGCAATCAAAGATGGAAACTTTATTTGGCTCTGATTGCAGTGATAAGAGCCTCCCGGCTACAGAAAATTGCAGTTCTTCTCCAGGTGGCGCAAATAAACTGGAATGTGACACGAGCTTTACAAATGACAGTCAATCTCAGAGAATTAATGCCAATACGGAAGTTCTGAACACTTCTCTTACCGACCAAGCAACGCTCTCACCAGAAATTCAAGATTGCGACTCTCAAGAAAGCAAAATCTTCGTAAAAAAACTTAGGTGGTCTAAACAAAGGAAATGCGCGGTAATGTCTCGTAGTTTCGCAAATCCCAAAAATGTCATAAACATTCGCTATCATGATGAACCGTCGATACCTGTTGAATCGGAAAAGCGTCAAGCTGTTGATAATGACTCCGATGTTTCAAATGTGTCTAATCATTTATGCTCTTCGGCCTCTTTGTCTCAAACAAGTTTATACGAGAACCAAACTCCTATTCCAGCAGGGAACAAGAATCAGATCGAGTCTCACAAGAAACAGACTATCCAAACACCTACCATCTTCAACGTTAGGAAAAAGATTTTAGTAACGCCTGAAGTAGTAGTACACCGAGTTCGAAGGAGACCAGTAATCTTGTCGGCTTCTCCAAAAGTTTCAAGTGATTTCATTACTCTCGTATCTCCTTCGTCTGTCCCTCCTACCGTCCCTTCATCATCGTCCGTCCCTTCATCATCTTCCGTCTCTTCATCATCGTCCGTCCCTCTTACCGTCCCTTCATCATCGTCCATCCCTCTTACCGTCACTTCATCATCGTCCGTCCCTCTTACCGTCACTTCATCATCGTCCGTCCCTCTTACCGTCACTTCACCTTCTACCACAAAACATTCGCAAACTGAGCGACCTCTAGAATCATCTTCGCTGTCGACTTCGGGTTACAGTAGTTCGACTTCTAATGCCCCAATTACGACAAATAAATCCCGAAAATCGCGACCGATTTCTCCCAGTCATGAAACGACCTCTTCTTCAGCTTCAAAACCCACCGCGTTACAGTCATCTTCTTTCTATTCGTCTTTTAAAATCCCTAAGAAATCGCTAGTAACGGCTAATGATGATCAGGTTATCAGGTCCACAACTCGTGCATCGAATTCTGTGACTCGCAGTATCGAATTCTCGGACTGCAGTAATGTTACTCAGAAAGATGTATCATATCTTCAAAGCAATTCAAATGTCTCTTCTCCCACTGTTGGGAGCGGCGAGATTGTGAAAATTTTGAAGCTGCGTGGTAAAAGAAGACCAAATTTTGGTACATCCAAATCCTGCCTCAATAAATAATTAGTAATCCGATGCAAGTTTTATAGATTCTTCAGAAGCAGATATGTGCATTACTTCGTTTTGATCCACGTGGTTGTTCTATCCATTCTTAATCTTTTCCAAGTTGAATATGTACCGACGTAACCATTCCAATCATTGTTTTTTTTTTAAATTAGAAGGATACACTTTCTCTTATGTTGTTGATGGAAACGTCATCCATCTTCCAACCATTCTTAATCTTTTCCATGTTGAATATGTAACGACGTAACCATTTCAATCATTGATTTTTACATCGCAAGGATACACCTTCTCTTATGTTACACCTTATGATACACCTTCTTCTCAATATTATTTAATATGCATGTTCCAAAAATTTATGCCCCTATACGATGTTCTTGAACTCCTGCTAAACTAATTATCACAAAAGAATAAAGTGGCCATCAAGAGACTCTAGAACGGTGGGTAGATTTGTTAGATTTTTTATCGAGCAAGCTGGTATGTATTCAGTATACTCCAATTGCATCTCTATGTTCTTCGAAGACATCATTAGCATCAAATTTAAACGGTTTCTATCTCTTACTACAAAGGCTACGGGAATGCAATTGGCATTAACATTTATTACTATTTTACATTGATAGTTTAAGCAACAGAGGCAGCAGGACTAAAATTAATTAGCATTAATATTTTATGACACCAACTTTCTACCTAAAACCGCAAGAAATCTAGATCTGCTAAATGCAATTTACTTTACTTTTACTTTTAGACGCATTTTAGCCAATGATCCAGTAAAATTGTAGAGCTTGTTTCATCCAGGGTTGAAATTTTTCAATAAAAGGTAAAAGCTCTCCAGCAGACATATAAATGGTCCATACAACTGGAGTACAAATGCGCATCTCTATAAATAACTTTTCATAAAACCTTCCTATGTTCTTTCTTGCCTTATAAAAATTGCCAAGATGTTAATTTCTTAATTAGCATGGTCTAAAAAATGTTTCAAGCGCATAGATAATGTCAAGTGACCGGTGATTACACAAGTTCATATCCTAAGCTCATTGCTCTCTCTGTACTAGCTTTACAATCCTATTTTGTACTCAATAAGTTGAAAGATTTTATACACTTGTGTGCATTACAGACCTCAGATTGAATTTGCATCTGAATCTTAAATAGTGAAAGTAAAAAGTAATCATTTTTCCTTCATTTAGTAAGCAAAACCTCGATTTTCAATTTCGAAAAAAATTTTCACTGCAAAAGTATTTCACTTAATTTTAAATTTTCTCTTTCTTTCTAGTATATATAAGAATTGTATACTCAGAAATATATTATTACTTTAAATGTCGTTTAATTTTAGGGTAACCTCACAACAACGTTCATAATTTTAGGAAGCCTTCATGCAAGAAAAACACACGTAAGAAACTTAATAACACGACGATAATGATACATGTTATTATTGTTGTTTATTAGAGTATTGTTGATATAAACTCAAATAATTGCTTCACTAAATAACAAATCTATGAAGACAGACGCAAGTGTGTAATATGTGATGTTGATATTATAATTCTTATATCGTGTCATCATTAATATTAGAACATTTATAATTATAAAATATAATGTCAACGAAATATAAAAAATCAAGATAAGTGATTGCAAGTCGGTTAAATGTGAAGAGCATCCTCCAGTACAGAGGCACTCGCGATCAGTTTATCAAGCTAAAAGATACATGGGAATAATTACGTTGTTTTGTAAATACGCTAATTGACATGAAACAATAACAAACAATTACCTGCTGGCAACAGGAAATACTTCATTAATGAAGAATATGAACGTACATTCATAAACAAACTTCTTCGATATTTTAAAGAACACCTTGTGTGTTCTATAATCAAGTACCGGTCATCATTGTACCAATGTTCAAAATTGTAACATGAATTCATTCACCTACAATGTTGCCAGAAGCCTTTCAAACCAATAAGGATATATTCGCTCATCGACAATTTGCTATATTGTGTAACAAATAATTTTGAACACATTCTCAAGGCGAGCACCTTTGGCATGAATTATTGATGTACAATTTTTCACGACATTGATTCACCAGCATGTTTTTTTCCGATTTAAAAACATCCATAATATAATGGATTATTTAATTATTATTGGCATTTTAATAACTATATAATCCTTTAGCGATCAAATAGCACTAGTTAATCGGTAGGGGCAAAAAAATCTACTTTTATAAATCCTTCCTAAGTGAAAAAGTATGTTAGATACATAATGTAATGGAACATGGATATTCGTAAAACTAACATGAAATAGAAAAAATCGGGAGTGAAACTTAACTGCTGGTTTCACTACAAAAATATTATACCGTACTTCCCGGATTGCAGGAAAACGTTTCCCAACAGAAATGACAAAGAGCCAAGCCATCTACCCACTTAAATATTTTAGTATTAACTATTCCTCCATTTGAGAGCTTATTAATTAATTTAATACTGGGCAGGGTGGCCCAGTGGTTACAGTTCAGAGTACCAAGATTGGAGCAGAGAGGCGCGGGTTCGATCCCAGCTCTGTGCGCCAGTTTCTGGTCAGAATCGGCAAGGAGGCCGGGCGGTTAAGCACAGCAGAATTGTAGCAGTGAGTTGCGAGTTCGAGACCGCAAAATGCTGTGAATGTTCTGCGATGTTAAGAATCGGCGACAGGCCTACGGCCTAATAAAAAGCTGAAACCGCTATTATTATTATTATTAATTTAAGCCATAACGCAGCCAAACTCAGTATTGCCTCAAAAATTAAAAGGAGCTGCAATTTTTTTTTAATTTTTGTTTTGCACAATTTAGTATTCACAAATTACGTACGAATGTTTTTGAAATTGACAGATGGTTGAAAATTAAAGTTAATATTGCTCACTAATGACATAGGTTTTGTAGACTCAACTAAAACACGTTCGTAATTAATTACCTAATAATGGTTACACGTTTGTAACTAATTACTTAGTAATAGTTACACACTTTTCTAATGAATTACCTAACAGTAGTTACACTTTAGTGACGAGTTACTTAGTCGACATGTTGAGGACCGAATATTAACATTATCCGGCTACCTACAGCTTCCAGTACAGAAAACAAGTTAACTTATAACAAGCTCCTCGAACCGTTAAACGAACATCATAAAAATGTACAGTCTGAAATTAAAAACTGTGTCAAGAGATAAAAGAATTAATGTAATAAAATCGTTAAAAAAGATTTCAGTGACGGAATACCAGCGACTTGTCAATTCAATTTCATGATGAACGTAGTTTCACTGTGAGGTTGCCCAATATTATGTATAAATAAACGACGTACATGACAAGAGGTAACCTACTTCGTTTGCGCTTTCTTGAAAATAATTACTCATGTTTCTCGTCAATTGACATCTTGGACTCAGCTTCAGGGATTTCATCCTCAATGGATATATCGACAACAGCAGCCGAGGCAGCAGTTCCGTTAACGTTAGTTTTCTTAATCATGGTCTGCATCTTATCTTTCTTATCATATTCATCTTCCTCAGGTGTTTCAGCCTGACCACTTCTCGCATCTTCATTATGTCTGTAGTACTGACCACTAAGCTGCTGTATTAACGGCGTATAATCGCCACTAGCTCCTTCAGAAACCAACTTTTTCTTGCATTCACATCTCTCCATACCAGCAGCGGTATTTTTTTTAGCATCATCATTACTGTGCTCGGTTTTGCACGATGCACAACGAGATTTTGTATCGGAAGACGATAAGGAATTATGAGCGTTGGTGTTAGTTGATAGTAGCAGGTCCCAGTGTATGGTAGTGTTGAGAACTTCGCGTTGCAGCCAAACTTCATAGGAGCGAGTAAACTCTTCCGTGAGCTCAACTTTGCGCCCAAGCACTGAAGTTATGCAGTTGTCCACGGGCTCGAACTCACTCTCGCCCTGAAAGTGCGTATATTTGGACTGAATGGTTCATAGTTAGTGGGGGTTAATAGCCTATATACCTAGTCTTTTATCTACTAGTTATTAGATAAGAGCCGTTTGAGGTTAATAGCGAACAAGTCAATGAACCACTAGAAATTAAATAATAGATTAGTTATTAATTATCAAGCAAATAATGGAACTAACAACCTTTATCAAATGTAATTAGACAATTTTCGAAAACCATTAGTCAACACAATACTTGAAAAATTGTTGTCAATAAATTAATCCTCAGGACAGTGACAAGCAGTGAGGAAAACGTTGACTTATCGCCATCAATGAACATGATCACTGGAAGATGAAGCGTTATCATGTAATACTGGTGCAGGTAATACTGGTAAGGTAATACCAGCACAGATTACAGGTAATAACAGCACATGTTACAAGTAATACCAGCACAAGTTACAGGTAACACAAGCACAAGTTCCAGGTGATACCAGCACAAGTTCCAAGTAATACCAGCATAGATTACAGGTAATAACTGGCTGTGTGGTGCAGTGGTGAGAGAATCTCGCACCCAGCGCCCGGGTTCGAGTCCCACTCAGGACAAGTTCTTCCGGGAAGCACAGCTCATGGTCAACTCGGCCATTCATCCAACTCGGGTTGATAAATGAGTACCTGGCTTGTCCAGGGTGTTGTGTAATGCAATAAAATGGTTCTGGCGGGTCAGCGAGCCAGTGATGGTCGTAGAACTACCAGTGGCATAACGTGCCCGGAAAAACTGACCTATCACCCCCCTTACCTAGTTGCCACTGCCAGGATGAGCTATTACAACAACAACAGGTAATAACAGCACATGTCACAAGTAACACCAGCCAATGTCACTGGTAACACCAGCACATGTCACTGACAGTGTGGGCGTGGTGGTATCGGCGCGTGTTAAAGCGGTCAACCACCGCTTAAAGTGAGCACATGTTACAAGTAACACCAGCACATGTTACAGACAACACCAGCACATGTCACTGACAGTGTGGGCGTGGTGGTAGCGGCGCGTATTGAAGCGGTCAACCGCTGCTCTGAGTGAGCACTCTTCGGTCTGGAAGTCCCAGGGCCGAGCGTCGGGATCGTTGCCGTACGCCCAGTCATCGTTGAGGCGATGGCGAACCTGCATTACAAATACATTAATTATTACTCAGTACTTATCTTTGCATACTTCAACCAATTTGCATCTATACATACTCCTGCAATTACTACTGTTGAATACCTGGTTCTCAAATGCGCTTCTCTTGTACATTTCGTTCGCCGGATGCATGTGTGTCAGTGACATTTTACTTTAGTTCGGTTTTAAAGGCATCTAGAGTTTCAGTTGCGGTGTTGGCTCTAGACTGTGAAGAAGGAAATGTTTGGTACGTGTGTTCTAATTTTGAAGATTCGTGTAACGTGTATATTTGACTTTTATCGTGTTATACGTTCGAAATAAATGATTTTACTTCTCGATTATACCTTTATGTGCAATACTAATTTTATGTAACCATTTTTACCTTTGTATATTGTTTGTTTACAGAAACCGATTTATAAAGACAACTGAACGAAAAATTGTGTATTCAAATCCTTCGCCAAACGAATATACGTAAGTTTCAAACATAGCTTCAACTTCGTTTGATGCAAGCTATGCACGCTGAGCCAACACCAAAATTCTAGACGAAGTTATGGCCATGCATCGGACACCGCCATGTGGTGACGTCACCTTGCCGTCAGCAAAGCTCGGCGCAGTTACCAGAAAGAAGAACGAAATAGAAGAACTGCTTCATAATCATCCCGAAGATGTTGAGCCTATTCGTAAGCTCTATACTGAGTATTTGGTCAAGGTTGAGAACCTGTTGGAGTCGTGTAACACCGATGAGCTGGGTAAATGGGTTGCCCCTCATAAAGAAGCTATCGACGTGTTCCGTAAGCGAATAGAAGATTGGATTGCCATTCGTAGAGTGAAAGATGTTGCAGGTAAGCAGACATCCGAACCCTCACGCTCCGTACGCTCCCACCGTTCCGCAGCATCCAGTACATCATCGGCTCGCATTCGTTTGGCAGAGCGAAAAGCCAAGATCACCGCCGAAAAAGCACTACTTGAAAAGGCTAAAAGCCTGGAATGTGAAGAATTAGCATTGAAACGCGAGTACGAAAAGAACCTTGCAAGGCTAGAAGATTTGAAACGAAGAGCCGAGGTCGAGCGCGCTGAGTTTGAGAACGAAATTTTGGAGGCTGAACTCGACAAAATCGACAAAGGTTCTTCCATCGGTTCCTGTCAGTCTGTTCAGGCGCTGGAGGATGTGGCTAGATCTGCTCCTGTCGAGATGCCGCGTGTTCTGGAAGACGGCTTCTGCAACGAGCACACTCCCTCGATTCTTCAGGTTCTGTCAAGGCAGAATGAGATTTCCAGTAATTTGGTCGTAAATCAGCAACAAAATCTGCCGAAGCGAGATTTGCAGACGTTTGACGGTTCCGACGTTACAGAATTTCACATCTCCATGCGTAATTTTGAGAAGATGATAGAAACAAGATGTTCTGATCCTTCCGACAGACTATCGTACCTTGAACAGTACACTTCGGGCAAAGCTCGGAAGTTGGTCAAAAGCTGCGTCAACTATGATCCAGAGACCGCGTACCGTCAAGCCAAAGCCTTGCTTAACGAAGAATTCGGAAGCGAATTTAAGGTCACGCATGCGTACCTGGACCGCTTGAATAAGTGGCCGCCGATAAAGAACGAAGATGTCGAGGCTCTACAGGACCTCTCAATCTATTTACTTCGGTGCCTCAATTATTTGGAATCGACTTCTCCGTGCAATCCCTTACACAGCCCAAGGGAACTAATGAATATTGTACAAAAGTTGCCGTATAAGACGAGAGAACAATGGCGTCGTAGAACTTACCAGAAACAAAAGGCCGCTCTGAACGTGGATTTTGGAGATTTGGTGACTTTCATACGTGAAGAGGTTGCCCTCCTAAAGCAGCCTATGTTTGGGCAGATTGCCGATCCCCTACCGCCACGTAAGGATAAGGAAAACAAATCTAGAATCCTCGCTACAACTCTCGAAGACAAAAAACCCTCGATCGTATGTGAATGCTGCGGCGGCAGTAGCCATTCCCTGGAACAGTGCACGGACTTTAAGGCAAGATCTTTTCAGGAGAAGTCTGACTTTATCAAGAAGCGTGGCCTGTGTTTGGATGCCTTTGCCAAGGCCACAAGTCGAAGTTTTGCAAGAAGCGAAAAACTTGCGCTACATGTGGCTGAAGACATCCTACGATTATGCACGACTCAACGCCTCGCATTGCCGCTAAGCAATCTCTGATGGAACAGAAACGTGGATGCGAAGCAGGGTCTGATGGTCCTCCAGAGCCAAATGCATGCAAGCAAGGAGGCCGCTCCTCAGTCTCCGCGAGGGCAAGTTACGTCGGTGGGGCCGGTAAGGTTAATAATTTGATTATGTGTCCCATAGTTGCTGCTAAAGTTAGGATTAAAAATGGTCCATTTGTTACCGTCAACGTAGCTCTCGACAGTCATTCCTCAGATAGTTGGATAAGGGAGGATTTAATTGAGCAACTAGGTGCCTATACTCGTCCTACTAGAGTTTTTCTAAGTACAATGGAAAACGTAAGGAAAGAAGTCCCGACCTCCATTTTGACTGATCTGGAGATTTGTCCGCTCGATGGTACCAAGTCTACGTTGATACCAATTTTATTTACGAAGCCTTCAGCTAACTGGCCGTTTTCGAAGGAGGATATTCCTACTTACGATGATGTCGAAAGCTTGCCTTATTTGGAAAGGGTTCCGTTTGATTTTGTGAACGTGGACGTTGGAATTCTGTTAGGCATGAACTCGCCTGGCCTTATTAAAACCTTCTCGACTGTGGATGGCGAGTGGGAGCAGCCTTTTGCATCGCTTCACTGGCTCGGCTGGGCATTCAATGGTCCAGTTAGCAGACGCAAGCAAAGTATGCATTGCAAGCGATCAAGGTTGGATATTTCAAGCCTGGAAGCGGACATCGAAAGTTACTTTTCACGCGACTACTTCGAGCCGGAGTACCAGCCTTCTCCGTCAGTCGAGGATGAAAGGTACGTGGCTCGCCAAGGTAAAACACAGTTTGCGACGTACTTCGGACGGTAAATATGAGATCGCGCTGCCATTCTACGACGACGACGTTTCTTTCCCTCTGAATAAAGGTCAGGTCGCAGCAAGGTTTACGTCTCTGCAGAGAAAGTTCAGAAAGGATGAGTGTTTTTTGGACGAGTACAGAAACTTCATGAGTGGTTTGTTAAGAAGGGATTATATTGAGAAAGTGCCTGATAGCGAAATTGCAGTTCCTGACGGTAAGGTGTGATATCTGACCCACCATGCAGTCTATCATAGGCAGAAGAAGAAAATAAGAGTAGTTTTTGATTGTTCACTAAAATTCCAAAATCCAAACGTACATCTCCAAACGTACTTATTATGGTGGCGAACTTGTATTATAATTCTTAGTTATTCGCACCATTCAAATAAAATTTTATAGTGAACACTTGTTGCCACTTCTGGCTATTGTTCTTCAACAGGGACAAATTTTCACTAATCAGCAGCAGAATCAGCAAAAAACAAATAGCAGCAGCAGCAGCAGCCCAACCAAAGAGTATCAAGGATTCTGTACATTATCATCAATAATTAAAAGCAATGATATAAAAAAACAGCAACTGTAATGCTAAGTTCAAAATAAATAACAAATTTGATCACTGTTTCTGAGCATACAAATGCCACAAATGGTGCTCACCATCTGCTGTTGTAATGCTAAAAACGCTAATTACTACCTATATAAACCACAAATTTGATCACCATTTTTGAGCATACAAATGCCACAAATGGTGCTCACCATCTGATAGATTGCAGACAAGGTCTTCATGTTACTCTTGCGCCATTGTCTGCCAAGATATTTAGTCTGCATCTTGAGCAGCTTGAGAACGTAGAGCTGCATCATAGCGTGCTTCACCTGAAACATTACACAAAATTACGATGAACAAAATTAATTAATTACGAATTGCCTACCACGAACAAAAAAAAAGTAATAAATAATGTGCGATCGTCGTCGATGCTGCAACATTACAATCCTAATTAAAAATTCCGATCCAATCAAATTACGAATAAAAAAGTCAAAGTTATTCGAAAATTTACGGTCGATATCAAGGCCCAAACCTGAGAGTATTAAATGCCAGCGCCGTAAAATCGCGTTTGACCTTCATTCAATTTTGATTTTGGGACGCAACTTTCAGTATCGAAATTTGTTTCCCACCCTGAGAGTTCGTTTGAGTGTTCACCATGAATGTTCACTATCTTATCACCCGCCATAAGAGTACGTTTGAGTGTTCACCATGAATGTTCACTATCTTATCACCCACCATAAGAGTACGTTTGAGTGTTCACCATACATGTTCACCATCTTCTCACTCACCATGAGAGTACGTTTGAGTGTTCACCATACATGTTCACCATCTTCTNTTCGGACTCGTATCACTTGAGACGGTGGAAGCAAGTGCAGTATCTTGCCGACCTGTTTTGGACGCGTTGGCGCCGTGAATATTTAACGCTTCTTCAGAGCAGACAGAAATGGAGCACAGCCCAGCGGCCGATACAGGAGGGAGACTTGGTTCTGGTTACGGATCAGAACCTGCCTCGTAACGACTGGCCTCTTGGACGCGTAGTGGAGGTTCCTACCAGCGCCGATGGAAGAAGACGTTCGGCCAAGATTCGTATAGCGAAGTATAGAGATTCTTCAGTTACTCGGTTGGGTACGATGTTCATGGAGCGCCCTATAACTAAACTGAATTCTCTTGAGAACCACCGATGAACTTGTCTAATGTGTAAATTTGTGTAAATTCAAATTTGGGGCCGGTGTTGAATTCCTGGTTCTCAAATGCGCTTCTATTGTATATTTCGTACGCCTGATGCATGCGTGTCACCGACATTTTACTTTAGTTCGATTTTAAAAGCATCTATAGCGTCAGTTGCGGTGTTGGCTCACGAGTGTAAAGAAGGAAATGTTTGGTACGTGTGTTTAAATTCTGAATATCCGTGTAACGTGAACATTTGACTTTTATCGTGTTATATGTTCGAAATAAATTATTTTACTTCTTGATCATACTTTATGTGCAATACTAATTTTATGTAACCATTTTTACCTTTGTATATTGTTTGTTTACAGAAACCGATTTATAAAGACAACTGAACGAAAAATCGTGTATTCAAATCCTTCGCCAAACGAATATACGTAACAATAGGAGATGAGAAAAAATCTTGTCATGTATCAGCTGGATTGATGTAGAACATGCAAAACACATTTCCAAGAATTTCACCCCATATTGACCAAATACCACAGTATTGTGACGGTGTGACCAGTGATTACACGACCTGACAAGAGGATTAGTCATGAGAGCACGTTGAAAATTAAGGAATCCTTTAACAACAAGTATTCTCAGACCATTCTCGCCCATTGCAATTCTAATTAGCTTTAGAAATGTTTTACTTATAGTAAAGATCCTAATTTAGGCCTCAGATTAACATATCAACATAAAGGAAAGTAGCAACACTGTTGAAGTTTGCTTTTGCTATGGCGTCACCGACTCACCGCGTCGGATCTGTCATGGCAGCCGGTGATACGAGTAACGGACGCGAGTCGGACACGAGAAACAATATTTTTACACTTTACTGTTTCAAAATTAGGAATAGAATACATAAAAATTAAAAGTAAACTCCCACATCCCATTCGATTTTGCAGTAAACACCCACATCCCATTTGATTTTGCATTCGAAGTAAGCTATGCTCAATAATTGTTTATTTAATCACATCAGAAGTGGCGTCACCAGCCGGCATGGCGGCTCTATCAGCCATACCGGCGCCGTTCATGCATACTAGACCACAAGTCCCGAAGTACAATTAAGTATTTGAGAAATTTAAAAGTCTACCATAACACAAGAGTCAGTTATTTCTTAAATCAGCACAAAAGTTTATCATTTATGAGTAGACTTAAGATATTATCGAGAATTTTTATTTGATTCGGCTCGAGACTGACGTTGCACCACTTCCAACACGTTGCACCATGACTAACTACAATCTGAAGTCAAGCGAGGGACTGCCGAAAGTAGTCAAAAGAGAACCTGCTTTAGCTTTATTTAAATCATGTTGTATAATGAACATTTTACATTGATTTTAGGCTGTAAAAATGAGTAAATTTCAAAATACTAGTTATACAATTATTAATGCATCATTCAAGTAATTTTAGGAGTAATGGATGTGAAGGACCGTCAAAGAATCAGTTTAGACAAACTAGATAAAAAGATAAGGAATAATCAGAGGAATTAAGCGGCGAAATTGTTGCTACACTATAGGCAAAGGCCTCGAAACTGAGAAGACTACGTTATTGATGTCAAATTAAACACTCAAGTAGAAGCATAATAATTACAGCATTTTTTAATATAATGCATATAAGCCTTTTATACAACCATGGAAAATCTTTGCTCCACGGTGTGGAGCATGGAGTGCTCCGCGGTGGACTTACATTATCTCTGACGATCAAACAGCCAATTCGAACTATCAATTAGTTGTAGCCAATAGACATTCCTCCTTACTCACCAGCGAACTCACTAAATCTTCTACTCAGAACTTCCCTATTCTAAAGGAATTTGCATGAAATTTAAATTAGAGTTATTTAATAACAATATGCCCTGGAAGGGATTAACACATATTTTTTCTTCGTTTCTTTCCTGATTGAATTTTATAAACGCTAGTTTGGGCAAGTAATCAGCTTTTAGCTCCCTCAATTCTTATGGGACCTAAATTTAAATATTAATAGGTCAGCTGGAGGAGCCTAAGTAACACAATACTCTGAAGCCTTTAACTTTAACAGGCCATATTGGCCTATTGCTTCAGCGCCTTCACATATATTTTATTTTATTCTAACTGCCCGTTTATGAATGAGACATTCTTTATTGATGCATTGACCAACCGTTGCTAAATATTTCAGAGAGTGCTTGTCTTGCGCAACTATTGAGCAAATCAGTGAATAACTATTTTATTTCTAACCTGATGAGGTCAACTATATTGCACTATGTATATTTCGTAAGCATTGAATTAGTCATTTAAATGGTGATACCATCTATGAATTATCTTCGAGTTCTTGATGGTTCATTTTCTCTAAGGATTTTTTTTGGTAGCGAACAGTTTATTTATGGCCTGATAACTTCGTACCTGAAACAAAATAAAGGAATTTTGCTTCAAATTTTGTTCTGGAATAAAATGCGTTGTAGAGAGTAATATCTTAATAAAATCGCAGAATAGCTTATGTAGTAATCATGTGAACACCAAAATTGAAATAAACTCACGGCCGTCTTAATGAAAAGAATCATCGCGTTATATATTTACGCAATTATCTTTCGTATACCCACAGTTTTTTCTTCACGATTTATACAGATGTTTAAATATTTAATAATTCAAACTTCGAACGCTATTTCATTGGTGGTTATTGATCAATTATTAATAGATGGCCACGCGTGGTCCATCGATGAATAGGACCCAATAAATCATCGATGATTCATCGATGAGTGCCACCTATGCTCGCGCATCCTCTCGTTTTATCAGCGTTTCAATGGTGATTTTTGGCTGGTGAGGCCACCCACCGTTACGCCACCTATAATCTACCATCGCCACCTATAATCATCGATGCGCCACCTTTAATTTTTATTTGGGTAGTACGTCCCTATATAGGCATATCCAGAAATGCATACCTCTTCGCTGATTTTTCCAGATATGCATACGTTCTCCGCAGCTTTTTCAAATAGCTTCTGGAATTATCGGTAATTAACTCTTTCTTCGTATTATCCGGAAAATTCTACAAATTGATTTAGGTAGGTATGTTGATGACACCTTTTTAATCTTCAAGCATCCCTTTCATGAGGGCCATTCCTCTGATTACCTCAGCCTGAAATATTCCTGGATGAAATTTACTATTGATATGGAAACCAAGAATAGTGTGTCGTTTCTCGATTGTGAAGTTACTAAATCCATCGGTTGCTTTCAAACATCCGGGTATCGTAAACCGACATTCACCGGCTTGGGCACATTCAACATTCTTTAGCATTCGTTCATTTATTTTCAAATTGAATGGTCGTCAAACCTTAATACATCATGGCCATAGAATTCGTTGAACGTTGGGAAAATTTCCCAACCTTGCTACTTTGAAATTCCAACGAAGAAGTAGAGCTTACTCTGTCTATATAAGACAGAGGCGCAGCTCTCTAAAAGAAGCTACTTTAAATCTTTGCGTATCTAATGAAGTTATCCGCCGTCCTAACTGTTCCCATTGGTCTTGATTATGCGCCACATTTCTTCTCGTGTATAACTAATGGTTTTATTTTGTTGTGCACAACCCTTGCCGAGTTACTGATTTATTTTGGGTGCATATTTCATCTGATTAAATTACTTCCATTGGCCTCTATTTGTTTTGATCCTTTTGAAATATTAGCTTTACATCTGGAAGAGGTTAACCTCAAGCGTAGGGAGAAATTTCCCTACACCAAGCTATATATGCATTCTGAATTCAAATTCACTAATAACTTACTTCATCTGAACGGGTTTCCATCAATCTCTCGTTTGCTATATTAGAAAATTTTGCGCCATAAAATACTCTTAATCTCTTATAGAGGTTTTAAAGTAGGGAAATTATTTATTGTAGTTTGCCCACATTGACAGCTCGTCTGAAACAATTTCCGGGAAGTGAAAAGCCTCATTTTTCGAATAGTTGGCTCATGAATAAATAATAAACTGGATCCTTTTTGACGTATTAACATGTTGTTCTTGTCCGGATGCGATTTCACTGGTTTATAAATAAAGTTGTGTGCATTGGGCATCAACGCACTTTTACATCTGGTTTGCCGTACATCGCGGCTGGAGCTCTCGTCCGAATCTACCCCTTGCCAAACCCGTCTGCTGTGCACCTTCTCGCTCGACAGTGTAATTTACCTGTGTCGGAAATCTATTTCATGATCCATGGCTCTCCTCTGGTGGTTTGGATTCAAGCATTTTGGAATCGCTGCGCATTTGTAAACGGGAAACCTAGCCATAACAGCGCCGACTGTTCATATCCTCTTCAAATTGGAAATCGATAGGTTTCTATGTTACGATGTCAGATTTTCCTTACTTAGGTTTCAATCTCTTCCGTGTTAATTTGGATTTTCACTTGCTGATTGTCTTTTATTCTAAAATTTTTGGACTGTTGAAGGAGTTTGTCTTCGACATGTTTACAATGCAGAGATGGCAAATTTCCTTGGTGTTTTCTTTATTATTAAATTCGAAAATAATAGAGTTTTTTTATTTTTTCATAATTATCCGCGCTCAAAAAACTAAGCTTCTGTGTGATAGCCGAAACTAAAAGCTGTTTAACCTAATAAATTTGGTGGCGAACTTCTCGACTCGAGTGAGTTGAGATTTGAGACCTGCCACTAATTGTTCAGCTTCTGGTCGAAATTGGCAAGGTGGCCGGGTGGTTAAGAATCGGCGAAAAAAAACAGGGCTTAATAAATCTCTCTATATCATTATCGCACTATTATTATAATATTATTATCGGCGTTGCACTCCATCAGACACAACTGACGCCACCAACGGCTACTGGTTAGGCGCGACCAACTTGTCGGCTAACAACGTTTGGCAGTGGAGTAACGGAGCGGCCGTGCAAATGGGCGCTCCTTACTGGGCGTTTGTGAGTAACTGCATGTGCTCTACGAACATGACACTATATATTTGCTAAACTAATTTTTTATTGAGAAGTTGGAAAAGGCTGCGATTCAAGTAGAAAAAGAGGTGTAAGAATAGATGCTATGTGACTGAACAGTATAAAATGAATTATCGCGTAATGATATTATAAGGCAGCTATATATTACGAATCCTGAGTTTTCTGTCTGAAATAAAATTGAATCGCAGATTTTATTCTATGAAGCTTTATAAGACAAGATGTTATTATCCCCAAGCATTTTAAGTTAGCATTTGATGCAATCAAGTAAACTTGATCCATATATTTCAGATGATGGCATTCGGTCGGTACGTAGCACTAGCTATATTCCAGCTGCAGCAATATATATTGTATCGAGTACTCCATGTGATCTCGCTTGATCGACATATTTTGTACAGCTGCCTTTAGTTAGTTTTTCTCCTCAGGATGCTGGTCAGAATTTGGCAACGGAACCTGTCGGTTCAATATATAATAATTGTGCTTATATAAATGGTCACTCTGGCTGGTCATTCCGAGACGCTGATTGCCAAGATTATCATTACCCAGTGTGCTCCAGGCCTTCAGTAGAAGGTGAGCTACTCTTCCCATTGGAAGCCCTTAGAAGTATCCTGAATAGAAAAGTGACGAAGCATTTTTTGAAAAAATTTGTTCTCAGACTACACACAAACCAGGGTGGCCCAGTGGTTAAAGTTCAGAGTACCAGGATTGGAGCAGAGAGGCGCGGGTTCGATCCCAGCTCTGTGCGCCAATTTCTGGTCAGAATCGGCAAGGAGGCCGGGCGATTAAGCACAGCAGAATTGTAGCAGTGAGTTGCGAGTTCGAGACCGCAAAATGCTGTGAATGTTCTGCGATGTTAAGAATCGGCGACAGGCCTACGGCCTAATAACGCTGAAACCGCTATTATTATTATTAAAAGAATGAATCGATCATTAATTTTAGTCCAAATTTGTCACTTTAAAAGAATTTTAGAATCAAATATAGTTTTCTTTACTGACCCTGTAAATTCGAAAAAATTCACAATTTCAATGTAATCTTGACTCAGGCGTTCAATTTTCAGGAGTCAACCGGAAATATAAAGTTAATATCTTTATAAAAGTTAGCACGCAAAAACTGAAATAAATCTATCAATGCTTCTAGGTCGTGTAAAAGTAGGGATAGAAAAATAAGATCATGCTGACATTTTATGTCCAAGTGGAAGATTGCTTCAACAGGATTTAGTATTTTTGACCAAACTCTACAAAGTCGGACTAAATGCTCGAACAACTTGACCACCACATTAGATCAAATCTTCAATGCTTCTCAGAGTTCGGTAGATCCTGCTTCCAAGATTTGATCATCTCATTTCGTTCTTTTAATTCAACATCATGGATTTGCACTTGACTCCAGGTCTCTGCGTAAATCCTTTTGTTTTGGTGGGCACGCAGTGCGTTCACTTACTTCCGACATCAGTTTCTTGGAAGAATGCACGCACCCAGTGTGGACGAGATGGCGGAGATCTGATTGTTTTAGACGATTGCGAGCAGTACCACAAGGTTTACCTCTACCTCGCCGAAGAAAGTAAGGGTGTGAAAAGTTCTATGTCGTCTTTCAGAGTCAACACTGCCTTTTAATAGACTCAAATGATGCTTGTACGGTTACATTGAACTGAAACAACACAGTACAGAGATAAAAATGTAAGCTGGAATTAACGAGTGACTTGGCACAGCCATGATCGCAATGAAGTTTGTTCAGACATCCTTGATTTACTTTTATTTGACCCAACAGCCTAAATCCATTACAAAGTTATTGTCTCTGACCAACTTTATTCCTCAATCTATTGACATGGTGGGTGCTAAAGAAATTCTAACGGCAATATTATTATTATGACTTTGTAATTAATTATTCTTTATTTCCCTATCCTGAATTCTTATAACTCTTTTTTAAGGTGGCATCGCCAACACTGGATTTTGGATCGGGGGCTCAGATGAGGCCGTGGAAGGACAATGGTACTGGATTGATGGTTCTCCGATGGTCATGGGTCTGCCATTCTGGGGAAATGTAAGAAAACGAACTCATAGATCTTATATGGAATTGTAATGTTTATGTGTGTGTTTGAGTATGTTTGAAGCCTAGTATCACAATGCACATCGACAATTTTTCGGGCACATATATACAGAATAATTACCGCATCGGAAAATTACCCGGACCAGGAATTTCATTCATAGAGGGAGAATAGGAAAGGATTGGAGGAAACGATTGTAAAAATTTACTATTAAATTCAGCTATTTATTGTTATAAAGTTAATTTCGAAAAATGTTAAATACATTTTTCGGAACAAGATTAAAATCGGATCCTAAATCATATATTCTATTTCATTTGTGAATTGGAAGGTCTTAATTCTTATTTAATAATTATGCGTAAGTTCTATTATCACGACCGGGATAAAGAATGTGGGAATGACGCGAGTAATTATACCGTATAACCCAAAAATGAGGGAATCATCAAGCCTGTGCAACGCTGGGCTTTTTTTGCTTGTACTAAATTAAAAATAAAACAAAATTAAACGGAAAACTCATGAGTGCGGATAAATTTGACATTTTGAAAGTAAAAGATACGAAATTTAATCTAAGCTAACAAGGACCCCAATGGATATGGTCCATTAGAGCCGTAATCATTCCCAGATAGTGCCATGGCAGCGTAGTTCAACGAGCATTACTAGCATAATTCCAGACATACAATTCGCCGCCCAGCTAGATTCTAGTGTAGATAGGAGACTTCCCCTGCCAGCCTCCCTTCACCGTTCCCTCGCAAATGGAGAGGGAACGGTGTTCCCTCTCAACCGTTCCCTCCACCGTCTTCCCTATCCACCGTCTTCCCTCCCTTCACCGTTCCCTCTCAAATGAGGTTTCGCAAATCTCTCTAGCCTATTCCACACAGCTCTAGATTATCTTAGTTTCTGAAAACAAATTTGTATAATGGGAGATGCCTTCGGACCCTAAATATAATGTAAACAGGTTTCAAGGTTTATAGTCATTTATCAGATTCTTCGTACTCACAGCACTAATTTCTTGATTACAATTTCGAAAACATCAATACCAAGCTATATGAGACAAGCAAGTCACCTAGGCAAGTTTTTGCATCATCACTGCTGGAATACATTTGATTTATTTAGTATTTAGGTGAATTTATTATATCTGATGCAGCGATGATCAGCTAATAATCCGCTCTATGTTGATTGAACAGCCGTGATCCCGGTATAAAGTAATTTTATTGATAGGGAACTTTTAAGAATCCAGGATCGTGAAATATTGTATCTCTGAAAATACTTTACATTGCACAATATTGTAAAAAATTTATTCGTAAGTTGGACGTTAACCGGACAATTTTTAACATATACCGGAGACTCGGTTGATAATTGGAAAAAATTTGATCCAGTTATTATTTTTAGCGCATTTTCTCATTTATGGAAAAAAGGCCTTATTGTGTTCGTCATGTCTGTCCGTCTGTCCGTCCGTCTGTCTGTTTGTGACTTCGCATTCTGCGCTCTCTGAGCAAATGCGCTCTCTGTCACTCTCTGCAGTGAGTACTGAGTTATATTTTTTTAATTCCCCTTCATAAAATATGTGCGGGCAAAATTCGTGAAAAATAACTTTTGAAATGTAAAATTTATTATCCTAAACACTTTCCCTGCATCAGGAATGTATAAATATATTTGTGAAAAACAACAATAACCGGACAGCTAATATTATTGAGGTTTAGTCAGGTTGCCAAGCTTTTTTTCACATTTAACAACAATTTAAATACTGTAAACTAATCATAGTTCAGTATAGGCCAACTTAGGACATTATGTCTAGTGATAATTATATGATCTATAATTGCATCAAACTATGCAATACAATTATATAATATATAACGATATATTTTTCCCCGTTTCACTATATGATGGAATAAAAACATTAAAGAACATTAACATCAAAACACTGAAAACGTCTGTTGACCTGTGCAGGCAGCTACTGGGAAGAACCCAACGAGCCTGGAGTGGAGAACTGCCTGGAGCTGAGTTACGTGTGGATGTACCGCTTCAGCAACACGCTGTGCAGTAACGTGCGACGGGTGATTTGCGAGACAGACCCCATCTAAATGAGGGTTGTACTAAAATTGAAAAAATGGACTGGAGTTAAGGTACTGAGTATATATATTGAACTACTCGACAACTTGGAAAAAGACTCCTAAGACACCCAACCCAGACTCCCACTTCAGTGGGAGTCTGGGAACTTCAGTGAACTTCACTTCAGTGCAAGTTCAAGTCTGTTGCCATAAACGTATAGAATTTAGAAAATAAGAATTTGATGTATGGCATTAGATTTTGCAATGTATAAGTCAAATTATATTTCAAAATATTTATTTAATAATTATTCAGACGTTGAAGCATTTTATTTTGATGGAACATGCTCTGACGATCGGAACCTATTTCCATACTGAAAGAGGACACAAGCCCTCCGGCATGGTGTAAAAACGTTGTCTCATCTCAAAGGCGTTCAGTGCGAAGATCGTTGGTCTCTTTATACATTCACGGATCTCCTAGGCCTAACCGCCAAACTAAGCAAGCTAGAATGCGTCACTAGCTGTTCGCAAGTGCCACTCGTCCGCGTACACCGTCCGTTCGTGGGCTGATTACTTCGAGAAATAAAGCAAAGAGCGAAAAAACGTGGGCATGAATGTAAGTGGGCCCTGGTCAAAACAAATATAAGTAAAATAATATGATATATGCCTGCATTTTCGGAAGAATTTACAATTTTTAGATGATAAAATGACTTGAAAACATAAATGCTAACAATAATTACAATTTACATTATTATTCCATAAAATACTTTCATGGGCCGTATAGAGTCAATATGTAATTCGTATATATATCTAGAAAATCCATTCAAATTTTCACTTTCATTATTTACAGATATTTTCAACTATGTTTATTGTAATGACGGAAAATTAATGGAGGCTTTCAAACTGAATTTACTAAAAACATAAATAAAAAGGACAGTATATTTTTACAGTGTTGAATCTTGGTACAGTACATTTTTCGTTACCTGATTGTTTATTCGTCCTCATTTTATAACAATCATGTTCATAATACAATATACTATGTAATATTTTAGCTGTTGGCCTGATGTTCCATGTGAGAAGCACATACACTACCGTTCAAAAGTTCGGGGTCGCATTGAAATGTTCTTATTTTTTGAGAAAAAGTACTGTAATTTTCAATGGAGAAAACTTTAAACCCGTCCAACTTAAGATAAATATACTCCTTACATTGCTTATGGGTTGCATGACTTGTCCAGCGGCAAATGTATGGTTTCCGGAACAATCTCTTCATTAGTGTAAAGAGGCCCACTTCCAGCAACTATCGCTCCAGTGTTCTAATTTTTCAATATCTTTGCTCATTGATGCAGAAACTAATTTATGATTAGGAAACCCTTGCGCACTCATATTCACACATCTAACAGCAATCTGACTCATTGCAGATGCTACAAAACTGACCTTCCCTTGAACAGATCGAATTTCGGGAGCATTCTTCTGTGAGGTCAATTAAACGCACTTCTGACTTTCGTCAGAAACTCGACTGCCAATTCTTGTCCCTAGAAATGAAGGCTATTCCATGCGAGAAAATTTCTAAGAAATTGAAAATTTCATACAAAGTTGTGTACTACTCCCTTCAGAGGAACACAATCTGGCTCTAACCAAAGTAGAAAAAGAAGTAGGATGCCGCGTTACACTACTAAGAAAGAACATAAATACATTAGAATCTATAGTTTGAGAAACAGACGCCTCATATGTTCCCAAATGGCATTTTCATCAAATAGTACCCGCGTCCCGCAAAACACCAGTGTCAACATCTATTGAGAAGAAGCGGCTGCTGGATGTTATTACGGTATTACTTTGTTATTGCTGTTTTATTAAAAAAATCATTATATCTAATCTTGTCGATGTACTGACTCTACTTTCTGTTCATTTCACAACGTACGTTGATAATTAAGTGACTTTTCACGGAAAACACATAATCCCAAATTTTTTTGGGTAGCTACCGAGTTTTCGTTCAATAAAGTTGTATCGTTCCTTGACTTTGGTCCATTTTCCCCATAATTTAGTGCACAGGTTGCACCAAGCAGGATGTTGCCCAATGTGCCCTCTGCAGCAGGCCTGTTCTAGAAGGTGAAGAATGTGCAACTCTAACACCCAAGGGTTGTAAAGGTATCCGGAAAGCCAGTGAAAGAAGAAAAGTTGTAATAACAGTAGTGCCTGGACAAAAAGTACACACACAATGTCGCAAGGACCACTGTAGGCCATTCAGTATTGAAGCCAGAACAGAAAAAGAGCAAATGAGCCTTCTGAAGACGGAGCACGCCAACTGAACCGGCTTTGATTACAAAAGTAACTGTATCTATTGTGGGACAGGGGACAGATATGGTGGTAAGAAGAAAGACTTTGTGCTGACACCTGTCAGGGAATACAGTGTTCAAAACTCAATCCTGGGGTCTGAAAGAGAAGATGAGTGGGGTCTGAAGGTGAAACCCAGTGAACAGTTTGTGGCAGACCTTCCTGCAGCAGATGCTGTGTATCACATCTCTTGTAGTTCAAACTTCAGAACAGGAAAACAGATCCCTGAAAAGTTTGTCATGGACTCAGATGCAAGTACCAAGCGTTTCACACCTGGACGACAGAAAGATGCTTTACAAGTAGATGCTTTCATAGAGGTCATGGAGTATTTGGAGAAATGCGATGAAGAGCAAATCTCACTCTGTGACCTGGATGAAAAAATGGAAAGCTTCCTAGCAGGCACAACTGTTTCTGCATAGAGCTCTAAGCACATGAAGGAACAAATCGAAAGGCACTTTGGCAATAAAGTCATCATAACTGATGTTGGTGGAAAGAAAAATATAGTTACAATATGGAGCACAGCATCAACTATTTTGACTGATTTCTATGCAGCACCAAAACAAAATGATCCGGAAAAAGATAAGAGACGAATCATAGAAACAGCTGCCAAATTTATCATGAATGACATCAAGTCTATGACAGGGAACCGAGATTCCTATCCATCACTGGAATACATGGCCTCTATAGAAAAAACAGTGTCCTACATACCTGAATCCCTAAAAAACTTTCTGTATAATTAGTTCAATAGTAAAAATTCTGAGACAAAGGTAGCATCCATAGGTCAAGCAATCGTTCAATGCACAAGGCCCCGTATTATCATTGCTAGTGCTATCATTGCTAGTACTAGTCTTTCTGTACAAAGGTTCTACCGGAGAGTCTCTGGACAAACTTCGAATAAAGGACTTTCACAGAAAAGTTCTTGTTAGCAAAGCATTTGTAGACCCCAGGTGCTTCCACCTAAATCAGCGGCTGCCCAGTTTCATAGTCTGAGGACATTTGCCAAGTGCAAGAGTGGCTGGGCTACAGAATGAAACCTGATGAGTGGGGATGGGAAGTAAGAAATGGACAATGCACGCCTGTTCTCATAGGTCGAGAAGTTGCCCCACCTGAGCTACAAGAAATGGTGAGATGCAATTGTTCAACAGATTGTTCAACGAGGAGGTGTGCCTGTCGGAAACAGGATATGGAATGCTCACCAGCATGTGGCCAGTGCCATGGTGTGTGCAGTAACACAAGTCAAGTATTTGACAGTGATTCTAACTCTTCCGATGAGTGACCTCAACACAGTAATGGTGGTGGTATAAGGGCGAATATGATACATAGGAGTGTTCAGCAGCATGTAGCTAATGCTGATACTCCTGACGGGTGACATCATTTTATTTCGATATATTGTATAGAATAATCACAGTAGGGTAACATATGGGGCAGCGGCCCCCCCCCCCTTTTTTAAACTAAATTTTTGATGAAGTTTTAATTGATACGAGGTGGTTCTTTGTTTTGTTTAAAGGTACAACTAATGAGGAATGTATGACGTGAATTAGACGCCTATAGAGTTATTCAATTTTTAAGGAAACACTGTTTTATAAAAAATGTCAAAATGGTCCCGTTGCCCCACCCCTGGGGCCAGGGGCACATGGGTTTTGGGCAAGGCGCCCACCCTTGGTCCCTATACCACAATTCCATATTTTTCGTTTAAAAATTATAAAACAACACTTTACAGTTAAAAATAATAAAAATGTAATGAAAAATAAGACATTCATTCATATATTAACAACTTAAAAAATCGTATCCTTAACTTGAAAAAATATACTCTTGGCAAAAAATCTATCACTGACGTGAAGAAAAATATTTCGTTGACATAAAAATGTATATATCCTTGACTGGAAAAATATATCCTTGCGATAAAAAATTCATCCTTGACATGAAAAATGTATCCTTGACTAGAAAAAATAAATTTATTTCATCAGAAAAAACTTCGTTCCAGTTTCGTCCATAATCCAAATATTTTTCAGACCCCCTTTTTTCTGTATGTGCAGAGAATTCGTACTTAATCGTGATTTCAGCCAACACCATAAAAACTCATCAACTTTTGGCTCATTGGTGTTGGCTGAAATCAACTTTTGGCAAGACAAGAGTCAAAAACTCGATAAGGGGTATAATACGCATAACTAGAAACTAGAACCTGTTGCCTAAAGGCAGTGAGTCAAAAATCATGCAATATGAAGTGCAATTTGTAATTCAAAAGCTAGTCATAGTTTTGAAAAGGTCATTGAGACAAATCTAATGATTTATAACACAAGACTTCACCTTGGGCGCTTTGCCCCGTGACACTCGTGGGCCCGTTGCCCCACTAGGTATCATTTTAATTTATATCGTGTCAACATTTTATTTTAGAAGCTAATAGTCCAAACTTGATCTCAAAATTATCCCTATAAATATTACTTTCAAAATATAATTCACAGTAATTTAAAAAACTTCATCTACGGTAACCGAAAACAGTTTTATTTAGCATCAAAAATATTTTATCTGGGCTAAAACAGTTATTCACAAATAACTTAACAACATAAATTCTTAGCAAAACGTAAATCCGTGCACTTCATCCCAGTGAAACTTTCGACCGGCGGTAGAGAACACGGACCAATATCTGCCATACTTAGCGAGAAACCCGCTATGGGCCCATGACCCGCAGTGGTCCGT